TTTTTTTTTGCATTTTTCGTAATAGTAAATAGCAGTTCATTTCTGTTTAATTCTTAAGTTGGTAGAGTTACTCCCTAGCGATCGCACAAAGTTTGTAGTTGTAAACCAGCATACAGAGAATTTCTACTCATCTAACAAATAAACGATACTTAGTGGGAGGATTCAAGAAGTGTTGGCCGTGAACTCCAAGTCTCTCTTCCACATCTGCGAAGCGGTTTCCTGGTACAAGTTTTGAGCCTTCCAAAATTTAAAAAGCAACGGTTTACGTATTAGCTTACGTATAAGTCGCAGTAACTATTCTGTGACAAGAGCATCAAAACCAACTTCGGGTAGAACATCTCATTGAGTTATAGCAATCAACCTCATCAGATGCTTCTTATATATTGCTGCTTGTCATATTCGTTTGCAAGTTTACTTGTTTTTTGAGAGGACATGTTTAGTTCTGATAAAAATTACAAATATTCACGAGTTGTGGGGTTGATGACCACTCGTATGATATGAAAAGTTATTTTAATAAATTTCTAGGAATAGGTTTTCATGGTTTCGAACAACCACTGGATATACATTCGTTCAAAACTATCACTCAAGCTGCGTTATTCAAGTCATGGATAGCCTTCTTTGACGCATCATCTCTAAGAAAACGCAAAAGCGTTTGACGATGATGAGATTCGAATCTGCATCAATCAACCCGACAAACCGCATACTTACCACTACATCTACCGCCTCTGCTTTGACAATGAGCGAGCATGTTGTGCAATTACGTATATAGGTAGAGGCATGTTGAACATGATTGCCACGGAAACTACATTCTATAACTTAAGCCATATAGAAAAATTGAAAAAGGTAAAGTTTGCCCTTCTTTAAAAATGTATTTGAAAACTAGAAAAACTGTTAAATTAAATTCTGAGTCAAGCAGCTCGAATATGCAGGCTAATTTAAGGATAAGAAGTGCGCCCTCGTGAGCTCGATTGTGCAAGGCAATGTTTCTGCGATTTGTTTTGTTCTGAAGCGTTTCCGCCACTTTATTTCACACCCCACGCAATTCAGATTCACATGTTTTATTATTTCTTAAGCTGCTTTCCCGCATTTACATTCGTAACGCTGGATACTTCTCGCTGAAAAGACTTTCTTGGCAAACTGCAGCTTCTTTTTTTGATCCGGGCTAGCTTGAAGTTAACACTATGGAATATTGTAGATGAATCAAGCACTGAGGAATTTGCGAAAATGGCCACAAGACTACTTCAACATGATTTCACAAATCATCTAAACCAAAATTTCTGTCTTAGATTTCACTACTGTTTCACAATATATGAAAAGTGACAGTTCCGACGAAAAGCACCACTTCATATTCAAAACACAGATGAGAGCCGCATAATTTACTTTATCGAGCGACAATCTAAGTCATATTTTCTGCATGTTTATTATTAGCAGCGCTCTCGCATCTGCGAGCTCTAAAGCCTAAGCAAAACTCCATACAGCTTTTTTGACTGATACTGCAAGGAAAAACAAAACACTTACCATCAATGCTCTTAACGACAAGAGATAACGTGAACGTTTTCCCTTTTTCTGGCTCCGTGAATTGAAATATGAGCAGTTCGCCTTTCGTAAAAGCCATGCCCCCAAACTGCATCGAGAACTCTCGAGCCATGAGGTCGGAATTTAATGGCTCGACGGTAGCGCTGCAATTCGAACACCAGAATATCAACAGCTATCAACATATAATCTATAGATAGAGACTTTCAAATAAACCCACTTCTTCTTCAGCTGAAAATCTGCTGTCAAGGTTATTGCACCGATGTATTGGCTACTCTGCAACCCAGAAATTATGTGCTGTTGGTTGAATAGCCTATATATGATATTACCTTGAATGCATACGGCTGTACAAGTACCTCCTGATCTAAACTGAGCACAGCCCATTTCCTTTGTGCAATGGCAAAAGCAATTTCACCACGCCTCATAGAAGGATGATTGCGAATGGTGAATACAAAACGGTGACCTGGGCCTGTTTGCATTTGCACATG